TAATTTGAAATTCAAAATGAGATGGGGTGGTTGCTATTATTTTGAAATTTTCATTACTTCATTCACCTTTGCAGATACACTGGTACCATTACAAGAAAAATAGCTGCAGACCATAATCCTTCTACTATTATGTTTTACTGTGACAATTGTGAACAATTGACAGTATTTTTGATTCTTTGTCACCTCTCTGTAAAGTATGGCTTTAGATGAGTCATTCAGATTAGCAAATCTAGCAGATATTTGTTTTTCAGTTAAGCCAGTGGTTCCCACAGATTTTCTTCTGGATCCCCCTATGGATTACAATAAAATCCCTCCCAAAAAGAAAGAAAATTCAACTGGGCACACACATCGTTTAACCAAACATAAACCTATACACATATTTTGTTTTCAAACTCCACTGAAGCTTATTTCACACTTAAGGTTGCAACAAAACAAATTACAAACCCTCTTTACAGTGAAACACTTGTGTAACTGTTTTTTTTTGTTTTCATTCATCCGTACAGCTTCTCGTGTCCCTCCTCCAATGGCATTGCGCCCCCTTTTGGGGGCGTGCTCTATGCTTTGGGAACCACAGAATTAAGTTAATCAGGATAAATTTTAATATCAAAATAGAAATAGAAAATAGAAAAAAAATTGATGCCACAAACAATGTACAAATTATTTGTTATTCTTTTAACAAGGCAACAATTGGAAACATTGTTTCTTTAAGCCTTACCTATTTATTGTTGAACAGGTAAGGATAAAAGAAGAACTCAATCTAATTTTTGATTTAATCAATTTTTTGGTCTACCAGTTGTTTGAGGGCGCCGATTTTGACAAAAAAAAAATAAATTGGAAACCATTGCTGTACCTAACATTTACCAGATTCTCAACAAGTTGCAGGTTGTTGGTAAGTTTACAGCCCTTAAAAAGTGTGAGTTTTCAGTTCTGAGAAGGTAAAGGCAAAATTGGTTGAGAGCGATCAGGATTACTGCGTTCTGATTGCTCTCTTACACAGATTCAGATGATTGTTTGTTGCTGCACAGATAATTAACGGAGGCTGGGTGTTCTGTGAGCAGTGGCTAATTTACACTCAGATGTGGTGGGGTAAAAATAACAAGCTGTTAGGGAGTCGCTGAGCCAAGGTGGTAATAAGGGCAGATAGTTAGATTTAACACGTTCACAAACACAGAGAATGTGTTTCTGCTGGAAGTGGAACCACATGGTAGAGGACTCCCCATGAACAAGTTGTGGGTCTATTACGACCTGACTGGTGACATCAGCATGTTTCATAACCACACAGCAGTTTTAATAGGTTTATAGTAGCATCTGTCCTGGGAACAAACCTATTCATCAAGAGGTTTGTTGATAAATATCCAGCAACAGATGCCCACAGACTTAAAAACTCACATTCGCCACCATTGAAAACCTGAACCTCTGCTGAGGTTCATGTGCTGCACCTTCCCCAACAGACTCCGACTGTCTTTGTCTTCTGTGGTTTTGTCTTCCACCTATTTTTAGACCCTTTTCACCCTCGCTCTTCTCCCTCCTCCATCTGCGCATCTTGCCGCTGAAAGAGTCCCAAAGAAAAGGGAACAGGCGGAGGAGGACAAAGTCATTTTGATCAAGATCATTAGTCTATAGAGTAGGTAGAGGAAAGAGCTCAAAGCTGATCTTTTTGGAAGTCATATTTAACAGCATTGAAGTTATTTTTTTTCAGCCATCTAGCCTTCCATGTTTGTTCGATATTTATATTAGGATCAGGGATGATGTCCCTTAAAATAAGGAAGCAAAACAAATAAAATCAAATTTATGTGGAGTGCACACTTTTAAGTCTCCTAAAGCATATAATTAATTACTGCAAACATTTCTAAATCCAGCATATTCCACGACAGACAGAGGAGGAAGCTCTAAAGAATAAAACAGACTAACTTTGCTCTAATTCTTTTATTACTTTACCAATTAGACGAAACATCCCAAAGGCAGACTGTTCCTTTTCCATTTAGTCGTCACCGCTAACTGCTGTCTTACATCTCTGTGATTTTTCTGATTTAATAAACACCTTATTAGCTTCTTTTACAAAGCAATTTCATAAACCTGCAGTCCAAACTGAGCCACCTCCAGTCATTTTATGAATCACAAATCAAGCCGTACACATCAAACGAGGTGAGCTTTGCAGGATTGATCGAGAGTTTTACACATGGTAAGAAACTCCTGAAAGACCAAATCAATGCAGCATGGCATGGCTTGTTTGCGTTGTTCTTTTTTAAAGCATAATTTCTGTCTCAGAGTTCCTCCATGTGACTTATCCAATATGTTTTAACGCTGAGAAATAATGTGTGTTAAAGCTGCAGATATTTTCCTCTGCAAGACCAGCAGGGTAAGACCAGCAGTCTTACCCAGCTGGTCACACAGACCATCTGTATTTGCTGCATCATACATTCAAGCTGCATTACCGAGTTTCCCTTTCACCAGTCAGCTGATAAAGGGCTATGACTAGATCAGTTGGTGAGTCAGAGGAGTATCAAAAATACATTAGGAACAGCAAAATGACATCTTAATCCCACCTTTAAGTGTTTTATGATCATGACTAACTACAGCAGCTATAACTATGTCCACTCTTTTGTTTAGAACGTCCTGTTTTCTTTGTTTTTTATTTAAGACTAAATACAAAAGCTTCTTGAGCAGATTTGTTCATTTCTATGATTCTCATGTGATGCATTTCTTTTACCAGGTAAACAGGCCGCAGCAGTTATTTTCTGTAGCCGTTGTGTATTCATCGGCACCAATAACGGCATGTGCAAATGTAATAGGATTAGATGTGATTATTTTTGTCTTTCTACACACATTTTATTAGCTGCAGAGGATCTACATCAACTTACATATGGTCTGGTTTAACATGAGTAGTAAGATGCATTTCCCTTATGGGGGGAACATTTAAATACGTCAGAATACCACCAGTGTTTGACCTTTCAGCATTCCTCATTGATTTCTGCCTCTGGGTGTTGACTTGTAAACAGCTTAGGGGATGTGATGGAGTCATGGTGGCTGAGGAGCTCGTGGAGCAAAGGGAGCCAACGTGACTGCTGTCGTGTCTCCAGCACCATATCTTCAGTCTCAGCACTTTCAGTCTCAGCAGTAGTAGATAGACGAGCTGCTGGTTGTGCTTTTGGGTGGTCTGGCTGTTCTGAATAACTTAATGTGCTGAAGGCTTCTCCATCTGCAGTGTGTAGCTCAACTGTAACATATAAGATTCCTATTCTGGCTGTAGTTTAGTTCATTTCCCACTAACCCTCCTTCTTATCCCAAGTCTTCACATTCAAACTCTTCCTTTTCCAGTCAGTCTTTACTAAATGATGTAAGTTTTATCCATCTGAATCTCCCTCTTTTTGATGGGTACCTTTTTTAATGGTGGGGAAGTATTATTTAAAATTTAAAAATAACTTTTTTGAGCTTTATATAATTTTATAATATTATTCCCTCATCAAAAATTTTGAAAAAGAACTATATAAGTTCAGTCCATTTACAATTTATCACACCTGGAGTGTGGGTTTGATTATTTCAGGCATGTTTGAGGAATCTCTGAATATCCGATGGCAGCCATTCGGGTTGTTCACATCAGGAAACAAATCAGTTTATCAGCTGGCAGAATGTTGTGCAGAACATTTTATGGAATAATGAAGAAGAGTGGGAGTCACTGTGAGGTGGTGCTGACTCTTTAATTTGTGTCACTTACTAAAGAAAACAAGCTTTTTATATTCAGCAGTGACTGAGCTCATTTGAAGCTGTAAGAACTCTGATTACATTGTTGAAGTTGAGTAAATATTGGACCACAGGGTTTAGAAAAAATATCACGGTGGTCTTAAACAAACCTTTAGCCTGACTTCAAAATAAGCATATTTCCATCTACAATTACAACCACATGCTTGTTCTGTGTGTGTTCTCCTTGCAGTAGAGGTGGATGTTTGGAAAATGTAGGCTTAAGCAGAAGCCAGTGTTAGATGATGGTCTGACATATTTAAGTTGTTTTTCCTTGTATGCCATAAACTTACACAAGGCAGTTTCTGTGGTTATATTGAGGAACATGAAAAAACAAGAGTTCAAATGTGTCAATTAGGCACAAAATAAAGCAAATTAAATGCAAATTACTCAGTGGGGATAGTTAAGAGATTCATTTTACAATATCCTGCATGATTGTAGAGAGTGCCATATCCCAGGAGACAAATTTGTAAATTACTTTTGTATGTTTCCAGTCAGTGCCTTGCAAAATCATTTTTACCCCATAAAACTGTTTGCATTTTCTCACTTTTTAGCAACAAGCTTTGGTGTTTTATATTTATTGGAATTTCAGGTGATATACCATCCGAAAGAGAACATAGTTAAATTAAATCCAATTAAAAATATATTTATTCCAAAGGGAAATTAAATTTTGTCATAACTTTTTTTTTGTCAGTAGCTGTCAATAATTTCTAGAAGTAGAAACAATATTCCACAGCTACATTGATGAGCCCATCATCTAAGCCACCTTTTTGCTTTTTAATCTTATTTTTAATGAATAATTGTGCAAGGAAGATGATGCTACAAAGCTTTCAATACTTATAAATAAAAAACAGAAAAGTGTAGTGTAGCGCAGTGCAAAAGTCAACTAATTAGTAAACATTCACAGTCTACCTGTGTGTAGCTTCATTTCTGCTTAATATCAGGCCTTAGAGGATTGATATGAAGGCTGTTGTGGTCAGATAAGTCCAAAATTGAACGTTATCCATAAATTGCATATGGTTGCTTTGAGCAACCATATGCTCACAGCAAGAAGAGGCCTAAAACTAAACAACCGTGGCTCTAACTGCAGCCAGATGGAGTTGCTACAGAACAAATATATAGAACACTTTTCACATTTCACCAGTTTGCTAAGCCATATTTAATTTCCTCTACTACTCTGTGTTGGTCTATCGCAAAAAATAATAAAGTGAAAATACAAAAAAAAAAAAAAAAAAAACGTAAATCCCAATAGCTTTATAAATCAAAGCCTAAACACTTGACCCACAAACCTTCTGAAACTGTAAGCAGATGGATTACAGCTGTGAACACCAGTCCCTGTTTCAGCATCTCACCTGAACAGGCTCTGACATTTTAAGATGCTCCATATGTTTCTCCCGCTCTGCCAGCAAATGTTTTCCTGGCTACACAATCTGGAGCAGAAACCACTGCACCCCAAACATGACAATCGCTCCTCACTCAGCCATCTGTTTGTCTGGGTGTGGCCTGTTGGTTTCATTCTGCACAGCTTCTTCTGTTTGGAGCCCTGCCTGGCGCACAGCTGTGAACTGCCCTTAGCATCCGACACCAGAGGAGTACCATGCACCCCTGGTAATACATTGCTATATTAGCAAACCGAGGCTTCAGTTCTCCCTCTAAGCACATCTTGCATCTATTCCCGTGCTTCCAGCCTCAGTTCTCGCCCTCTCGCCCAGTGCACTCTTGACCAGTGTCGATGGAGAGCAAAGAAAACTGTGTCACCTCCCGCTATGACTCACTCCTCCCGTCTCTCTCTCATTTTATATCTCTCTCTCCTTTCTCAATCCTCCCACTCCCATCTTTCGTCGCTCTCAGGATTGGGATCGTTAAACATTGATCTGTATTTATTTTTAGAGCAGCTGTGCGCATGCGTGCGCGCGTGTAAAACAGACGCTCCTCCGTGCCAACACGTGGGCAGCTTGACTGTGTTTGGGTGCGCGTCCTATTGTGTGTCTTTGCGTGTGTCAGGACTTTCTTTTTCACAAAGTTAATCCCTTAAGAAGAGGTGTGGTTCTCTCTCTCTCTCTCTCTCTCTCTCTCTCTCTCTCTCTCTCTCTCTCTCTCTCTCTCACTCACTCACTCACACAATATCATCACATGTTCTCTCGCCGCTCTCTTCTTCTCTCTCATCCTTTCCCTGTGCTGTTGTTGCTGTGGCCGCCAGTCCAAGGGAGTTCTTCCTCTCTCTTCTCTCGGTTGGCTCGTCATCTCTGCATCGTTCCTCATCCGCCTGTGGATCTTGTGTTTTGATGAGTTTTCAGAGCGAGATGGGGGAGGCCATTGAACTCGGGTGAGTCGGCTTCAGAGCAGGAGGTGTGAGCCGTGCGTGTGCGCATCCGCTGACAGCTCATGGCCAAACATACTCTTGCATGTTCTCTGTTGATGCATGGATGTCTGTGTCAAACTTGATCAGCTGCTGCGGTTGCGGACAGTACCTGGAGCCTCATCTTGCTCCGAGTGTGTAACCTTGACCCTAATCCAGCAAAAGGGCGCAATCTGCAGCCTCTATCAAACTTAAAAGACTTGTAGCTTTTGCAAAAGTGATTTCTCTTTTTCTTTGTTGGTGTTGCTGTTTTTCTTGAGGGACCAGGCTCTGTGACATTTTGAGTCTCTGCCAAACTGATAATAGGTCTGTATCCACAGAGCTCATAGCAGCTTACAGCCTTGGCAGATGCATTAGACCCCATGCCCATATGGAAGAGATTAAACCTGCTAAATTGATACTAACACCCAACATGTTTTCCTTTTTTGCTCAGTGGTCATGGCTGCACATTCTGGGCAAGCATCAGTGGAGATTGAGTTCTCATCTTTGTGTGTCACATGCTAGCGTTCAAAGGTTTTGGTTGAAAATGTTAGTTGTTAAGTGAGTAAAGGAGGATTCAATTTAATAAAGGATCAAAATTGTACATGCTAAAAGTAAGTGGATAAATAAAAGATTTGAGTTCTTATGGCTTGGACAGGGATTTTGTATCCACAACTACTAACCTGCTATGGCATGGGATCTTTAATTGATGCTGTTTTTGTGTAAACTTCGCTACAGTGTTCAATGCGCTCAAGTTAGGGCTCTAATTTGTTAACTGCCTGAGTCGAAAGGTTTTGAGTTGGAGTTTTATCACCAAAACATAGACGTGTTGTTGGTGCAGATGGTCACACTGTCATAAAACTCTCAGGATCTGTTGAAGAACGGCGCTGATGATGCCTGGCATTGATTGGGCAGTAGAGCAGAACGTGGAACTTGAATATCTTTTAATGATGTCTTGATGTCATGTGTTGTTGTAGTCAAAATAGTGTATTCTGTGACATGTAGCACAAAATGTATAGCTTTCATATTGTCATGTGTGATAAAGACTGGGAAATATGCAATATTCATAAAGGTGGCTTATGCCTTGGTGGCAAGATGTTAGCCAATGTGACAATTTTGTACTTATCTTCTTAGCTGTGAGGCCATTGCTGCACATCTGAGGCTCTCATAATTGGGTGTAGAGAGGAAGTCCATACTGAGGTCAATGTGATTTATTCCAGAGGAAGCAATGACATAAGCAACACCCTATCATTGCACAAAAACATGTCAGCATTTACAACAATGACAAGGATGTTGTCCAGTGTGTACACCTCGTATGTATATGTTGGACATGTGAGATGTCCAACATTCAGAGTCAGTCTGACTCTGAAACACAAACCTGCGGTAGAGGCAGTGATGATGAGAAAATGACAGGGATAAAGTCCTGTGCCATTTCTTGCCTCGAGGAAGACATAATGTTTGGAAGGCCTGTCTTGACATTGCACTAATCTATATGCCTGCTGACTGTGAGGGTTGCACTGTGCTTGGGTGCTTATCTCACTGCACAAGAGTTGGAGCAACTTGGGTAGGTTTCCAATCCATTAAAAGCATGAAATTGTGTAACATTATTAATGTGGTTACATTTTTCAGAAAGTGTTGGTTGAGGTCAAACCACAAATGTTAACATGTCTTATAAATCCTTGGGAATCTGTTGTTGATTATGACACTTTTAATGCTAGCAGAGTCACATAGTTAAAAAGGCAATGCTGTTAATGTCTGGTGTTTTAAGCATATCTGTCATTTTCCAGGCCTCAACCAGTTTTCCCCTTGAATATTCTTGTAGTTGTAAAATATTTGAATCAAGGTGGGAATTTCTCTTGCTGAGAATCGGGGTCCAGCATGTTCTAGATGCTCCAACATGGCTGATTTAAATAGTTGAATGATCTCCTCAACCTGTCAGCTGGCTTTTCAGGGACTTGTTAATAACAGTCATTTAACTCTGATGTGTCCAAGCAAGAAAACATCTAAAGCATGCAGGATACTGGCCAAATGAGAATGAGAGACGCCCACCCGTCTGCAGAACTACTGTGCTCAATTCTTCTCCAATATAGCGGGTTTAAATAGCTGAAGTATCTCGTCAAGGTGTTGAGTTCTGCAAAGGCCTGAGAGTGAGCCATTTATTGGACCATGATGAGTTGAACCAGGAAAACATGTAAATTATAGAGGATACAGACTCCTGGGTCTGTTGCCACTGAAAAAACTCTAATCCTTTAGCATCAAGATTTCTCATATATTTCATTTTGCATATAAACTCAGTGTTATAGCTGTGGCCAAACATTACCGAGCTCCTCCTATATTCTCTTAAGTCTTTCATGGAGGAAAACAAACACTTTCTAATTGTTTGCAAGAAACAAATTAAGCAGAATTTTGTGAAAAGATCTCTTGAACAAATGGAGTTGCACTCTCTCTCACATCTAGTGGTTCCTTTGCTGATTTTCACTCCCTGCCCTCATGGTTGGATTGCTGAGGAGGCCAGATCCCAGGCGTGTTACAAAAAGGAAAGAGAACAGGCTTGAAGAGTGAGAATAGTGCATGCAACAGAGATGGTGTCACGGGTGAAACAAGGACAAATGAAAACCAGCAAATCAGAGCCAGAGGATAAGACAAAGGGTGCGACAGCAAAAGCCGAATCTTAGGAGCTTAAAAAGCATTATGTTTTTACACAAGTGCAATGCATTGTGGGTAAGAACATTGGGTAAGAACAAAGTCAGTGTAAAGTGGAATTATTGTGGGGCAAATATCAATTTCAATTTCCTCCTTTTGTCAGCAAAGGAAGTAAGAGGCAATAATTAACTGAGGTCTTGATTCGAGAATTCAGGGAAGACAAATAAAATCCTGTTTAATAAGTGTACAAGTGTTTGCTATTCACAGAGCTTTCTCAAATCGAGTCATTAGAACTGCATCAGGCCCCTTGGCAGTTTTCTCTGACAGGGGAGTGTGACGTAAATTCGTTTAAATAAATCATGGGTGGGGTTGTCAAGAGTCTAATGTGTTGCAGCCGTAATAAAGAGTCCCTTATTTTGGGAAAGTTTGCATCGTGGTTGATTTTTTTTTTTTTTTTTTTTTTGAATTGGGTTGAATTGGATATCAGAATGTAATATCGTTGACATTATTTTATTATTTTCTCAATTTAGGAGGATGATCTCTTCGCCTGGAGCTGAAACTTTACAGTCCGCTTTGCTGAGTTGTAGTGCATGAGATACACCGGCCCGGAGGGGTCCGATTTATAACGATAGTGGGGGAATACAAAGTGGGAACACGACATGACGATATCATGCAGGAGCGTATCGACCGGGACGCTCCACTTTACGCCTCGCTACACTATGTTTAGATTAACTTGCGCACAGTTTTCACAGCCCCAGACATGCTGGCATGCAGACGTGTGTGTGTTTGTGTGTGTGTGTGCTCTGACGCTGACACAGACAGGAATCTATTTATCTAAACGAACAAACAAGAATTAACACAGTGACAAAGGACACAATGCACGCCTGGTCTGTAGCCTCTTTGCCTGCTGTCCAAGGGCAGAGGGGATTTGGATATTGTTACGTTAATCTCCCTCTATTTGGCTTCTTGGAGCACATTCAGATAAACAGACTAGCACAGCCGCGCATACACAGGTATGAAGTCGTGTGTGTGTGTGTGTTTTAAGAGAGAAAAATACACATACAGATTGGAAAACTTCCGCAACACACATGCAATTAAGGATGTAAACTACCTTCTTATAGCTTCAGGTGTATTCCCAACCTTACCTATGTCTGTTTCCTAGAAACCAGGATGAAGCAAAACACAAGATGGTAGAAATGATGATTTCTATCTTGCTTAGCTTTTTTTATTACATATTTGATCAATTTAATTCATTTAATCAATTGTTTAAAAAATGTGTACAAATGTTATATTAAGATATATGTCCATGCAAAATAGCAAAAACTCAATAACACAATCAATTTAAGTCCAGTTTATTTTCAGCAACAAGGCAGTTCAAAGTACTTTTCATCATGAAATATTACAGTCATCAATGATGAAATAATATATTTTTTTTATATTTGGTCAAACATTAAAAGAAATTATAAAATGATTCAATTACTACTAATCAAATGGAATTTTAAACAGGTGATTTTAAAGTTGCACTGAGTTATAGGAACCAGAACCAAACAGCATTCAGCTGAATGCTGCCTCTCCATGTTTGGTTCTGGTTCTGGGAATACAGAGCAAACCAGAACCAGAAAACCTCAGTGGTCTGGAAAGATTGTACAACAACAGCAGCAGATCTTTAATGTGCTTTGTTGCCAAGCCTCTCAGTTGTAACCCATGTCATTCTTAGAGTTGTGACTGATTGAAAAGTTATTTTGTGGCGTCCTGTCGACTGTGGCGCCCTGGATCGTGAGGCATATTGCCTCCTGCCCCCATGTCTGTTTTGAATTGAAACACTGAAAGTAAAACAATATGACTTCTAAACCAGTGATCTGGTGTGGTAGAAGCAGAGCAAGCACCAGCACTCATGAATGTTTGCTCTGCTCCTCTCTGCATCTTGCTGCAAGTCTTCCATAATGCAATTTAAAATTTCCAGTTAAATCCTATTTACCAGAGAAGACAGAGAAGCAGATCATTTTGATTGCAGGATGTTTTCTCTGACTCCCAGACCGACCTCCTCACTCAGCTGCAGGACCTGGGTAATAGATCGCTCCAGTACATGTGGCTCTTCGCTTCAGATGTTTGCTTGACATCGCTTCTATTGACTTTTATATTTATTTTCAGACAACTAATAAAAAAAAAACACTGCGAAATGCAAGAAAATATGTTTGGAAATGTGCATGTATGTGTTTGAAAAGTATAGTGTGTTGTTTACCTATATTAGGGGACAGTGGATGCGGATATTAATAAATCCTATTTGACAGTGACGGAGTTGACTGGAAACCAGCAGTTTCCTGGATCCACCCAGGCCTGATTGA